GCTATTGTGTATAATGCTGTAATGAACATAGGGGTGCAAGTATCTTTATGCCTTTGTGTTTTCAAGTTCTTTGCATAAATACCCAGCAGTGGAATAGCTGGATCATATGGTAGATCTATCCTTAATTTTCTGAGGATACTCCATACTGCTTTCCATGGTGGCTGCACCAGTTTTCACTGCCACCAGTAGTGAACAAGGGTTCCCTTCTCTCCACACCCTCTCCAACATTTGTTGTTTCCTGTCTTGTTAATTATAGCCATTCTGACTGGAGTGAGGTGATACCTCATTGTAGTTTTGATTTGCATTTCCCTGATAGCTAATGGTGTTGAGCATCTTTTCATATGCCTGTTGGCCATCCGTATATCTTCTTTAGAGAAATCTCTGTTCAGATCTTTTGCCCATTTTCTAATTGGATTGTTGGTATTTTGTTGTTGAGCTGTATTGGTTCTTTGTATATTTTGGATATTAACCCCTTATCTGATATGTGGTTTGCAAATATCTTCTTCCAAATGTTAGCTTGTCTTTTTGTTTTGTTGGTGGTTTCCTTTGCTGTGCAGAAAGGATCCACATTGGAAAAGAAGAAGTGAAACTGTCACTCTTTGCAGATGACATGATTTTATATCTAGAAAACCCTAAGGATTCCACTAAAAAACTTTTAGAAACAATAAAGGAATACAGTCAAGTTGTGGGATACAAAATCAACGTACCAAAATCGGTTGTGTTTCTAGTTTCTATACACTAACAATGAAGTAGTAGAAAGAGAAATTAAGAATACAATCCCATTTACAGTTGCAACAAAAAGAATAAGATACCTAGGAATAAACTTAACCAAAGAGGTGAAAGATCTGTACACCGAAAACTATAAAACATTGTTGAAAGAAATCGAAGAAGACACAAAGAAATGGAAAGATATTCCATGCTCTTGGATTCGAAGAATTAACATTGTTAAATGTCTGTACTTCCTAAAGCAATCTGTAGATTCAACACAATCCCTATCAAAGTTCCAACAAGATTTTTCACAGATATAGAACAAAGAGTCCTAAAATTTATATGGAACATCAAAAGACCCCAAATAGCCAATGGATTCCTGAGAAAAAAGAACAAAGCTGGAGGTATCACACTCCCTGGTTTCAAAATATACTACAAACCCATAGTAACCAACACGGCATGGTACTGGCGCAAAAACAGACACACAGATCAATAGAGAAGAATTGAGAGCCCAGAAGTAAACCCACACATTTATGGACAGCTAATATTCGACAAGGGAGCCAAGAGCATACCATGGAGAAAGGAGAGTCTCTTCAATAAATGATGTTGGGAAAACTGGACAGCCACATGCAAAAGAATGAAAGTAGACCATTCCCTTACACCATGCACAAAAATCAACTCAAAATGGATTCAAGACTTGATTGTAAGACCTGAAAGCATGAAACTTCTGGAAGAAAACATAGACAGTATGCTCTTTGACACCGGTCTGAGCAGCATATTTTCAAGTCCCATGTCTGACCGGGCAAGGGAAACAAAAGACAAAATGAACAAATGGGACTACATCAAACTAAAAAGCTTCACTGGATATTCTTGGTTGGAAGTTTTTGTCTTTCAGTATTTTGAATATATCAATCCCCTCTCTCCTAGCCTGTAAGGTTTCTGCTGAGAAATCTGCTGAAAGCCTGATAGGAGTTCCGTTCTGGGTTATTTTCTTCTGCCTTGCTGCCTTAATATTTTTTCTTTGTCATTGACTTTTGCCGGTTTTACTAATACATGCCTTGGACAAGGTGTTTTTACATTCGTGTAGTTAGGAGTTCTATTAGCTTCTTTTACATGTAATTCTAGCTCCTTCGCCAGGTTTGGGAAATTCTCAACTATTATTTCTTTGAACAAGCTCTCTGCTCTTTTCTCCCTCCCTTCTCCCTCTGCAATACCCATAATCCTTATGTTGCATTTCCTAATTGAGTCATATATTTCTGAGAGAATTTCTTCTTTTCTTTTTATGTTTAGTTCTCTCTTCTCCACCTGAAACATTTCTGTATTTCTGTCCTCTAAATTACTAATTCTGACCTGTGTAACGTCAGCTGTTTTTTTTAAGGATTCTAGATTGTTTTTTGTCTCAATCATTGTGTTTTTCATCTCCAGCATTTCTGTTTTTTTTTTTTTTTTAGAGTTTCAATCTCTTTTGTGAAGAATTCCCTCTGCTCATTAATTTTATTCCTAAGTTCGTTGAACTGACTTTCTGAGTTTTCTTGTAACTCATTGAGTTTCTTTATGATAAACTATTTTGAATTCTCTTTCGTTTACATTGTAAATTTCTGTGACTTCAGGATTGGTTTGGGGACACTTGTTGTTTTCCTTCTGGTCTGGAGTGTTAATGTATTTCTTCATGCTGTTTGATGGAGTGGACCTTTCCTGGTGCATAGTGGTAGTATCTGGTCACGCTTTCCACCTGCCACCACTGTTGGGGGACAGGAGCTGTATTCTCTGAGCCCACTGTGAACCCTGGCAGTTGTGCCCATCTGTTTGGAGTTGTGCTGATAGGGCTCTCTGCATCTGGCCGCTGCTGCTTCACACATGCAGGTGCAGGAACTCTGGTGGGGATCCCTTGCTCTGGCCAACCAGCTGAGCTGGTGCACCAGGCATGATGGAGGGGAGGGGGTGCCCACCTGTGGTCCCATTCTGCACTCACCTGCAGCCCACTTGGGCTGGTTCGCTTGGTAGGGGGTGGGGGGCCTCTGTGGTGGCTGAGCCACCTCAGTGTGGAGCATTCCAGTAGGCTGGGAAGCAACTCCAAGAGTGAATGCTTTCCTTTGGAGGGCTGCCTTTTCCCCATCTCCTCTCAGAGTCTCACACCAGCTGCTGCGTGAGTTCCCGCACCCTAGATTGCTGCCACAGGGGAAGGGGAGGAAATCCACTTACTTCCTTCCATTGCTTCCTCAGTGATCCAATAACCCCATTTTCAGACGTCTGGCTATGTCGATGTCTCAGATGTCTGTTGTGTTGTGTGGATGTCCTCTGTTGGTTAATGAATGTCCTTTTCATTGTATCTTAGCGGGGAGAGACTAAGGGAACAGCTCACTCTGCCATGATGCTCTCTACTTCTCATTACTATATGTGAGCCACATATATATTTTTTTGTTGATAGCCTTCCTGATGGTTTCTTAAAGTCTCTATGTTTTAGCCTCATTTTTTTGGAATAGCCTGAAGAACCTTCTCCTTTAAACAGAACCCTCTCTTCTCTGATGGTTCTTTCTAAAGCAAGTGTCTTTGTTTTGGCTTCTTCTTAAGCAAGTCTTATCCTTTTAGTGTTTTTCAAGTGAAACGTTTTACTTTGAGCTGGAGCTGACTTCTGCTAGTGACTGAGCAAACTTGACTTTTAAACGGACAATATTTATTTCAAACTCTAACCAACAAAGATTAGATAACATTATAAAGTATTTTATAGCATAATTGTAAACATATCTCTTCATATCACCCATCAAATCAACAAAAATAGAAATAACAGCACCCAAAACTAAACCCCAGCACATTTAAGAACAAAGTGGAGGACAACAGTTTGTCCTCCTAAAAGAGCATTTAAGAATGGAGTAGAGGAGGGCCTACCTCTGGCCTAGTGGTTAAGTTCTGCCTGCTCCACTTTGGCAGCCCAAGTTTGCTTCTTGGATGCAGACTGACACTGCTCTGTTAGCAGCCATGCTGTGCTGGTGGCCTACATGCTAAAAAAGCAGAGGAAGATTGGCACAGATGTTAGCTCAGTGCAAATCTTCCTCAGCCAAAAAAAAAAAAAAAGAATGGTGTAGAGGAAAACAGATCCTCATACTGAAAAAGCATCAGAGTTAAATTTTGTTCAGCAAACTTATTACTGAGTTTCTTCTAGACCTAGATGCTGGGAATGCAAGTGTGATAAAATAAAGAGCCAGTGTCTTCATTAAGAGCTTTAAGAGTTCTTTTTTTTTTTTCAAAGGATTTTTAAAAAAATTTTTTTTAAGATTGGCACCTGGGCTAACAACTGTTGCCAATCTTCCTTTTTTTTTTTTTTCTGCTTTATCTCCCCAACCTCCCCCCATACACGGTTGTATATCTTAGTTGCATGTCCTTCTAGTTGTGGGCTTTTTTTTTTTTTAAAGATTTTATTTTGTCTTTTTCTCCCCAAAGCCCCCCAATGCATAGTTGTATGTATTTTAATTGTGGGTCCTTCTAGTTGTGGTACGTGGGATGCCACCTCAGCATGACCTGATGAGTAATGCCATGTCCGTGCCCAGGATTTGAACTGGTGAAACCCTGGGCCGCTGAAGTGGAGTGCACGAACTTAACCACTCGGCCATGGGGCCAGCCCCATGAGCTTTAAGAATTCTTTAAAGAGGGTATTCAGCCTGGGAAGGTAATTATTTTGACTAGATGGAGGAGATTTGGTGACTGTTTTTAGAAATTGCACTCATACTTGAAAAAGCTTACTCTTGGTACTCATCAATCATTATCAGTTACTTGTGCTTTCTGTTTCACTTTTGTTCAGTTTGGTAGGTTGGATTTGTTTCATAATTATAATTTGGAATCTTTTGGTATCTTTTAGCTTTAGGATATTTATGCAGTAGAATAGGAACTCTAAATCCATTTTAGGTAAAATAACTTCATACTCTACTCGTGTTCTTGGACCCTCTTTGGTGATAAGGACCTAATTTTATTTCCTTTAAGATTAATTTAAATCTAAGATCATTCTAGAGCATAGAGGTGCTGTATTTCTCTTTGAAATCCTTGGGCTGAAGGGATGAAGAGGAAAATGCTCCCTTAAAGTTCCTGAGAAGAGGAGAAGATACTCTTTTCCTCAGAAAATTTTTAGAAAAGCTGGAGTGGTGGTGGCCTTTGGTGCAAGAATTTTTCAGTTAATACTTCAGAACCTACTGGATAAGATAATCTACTGGTTGGCACCTTTGACTAAAACAAGCTTATCTAGTTACTAGTTAAATTTTCTTCCTTTTGCAATGTAACGTTTGGTTTTTTTCTTCTTTTAGCATAATTCTCCATCTAGTGATGATAGTTCAGACTACAGCCTTGATTCAGATGTTGAACATACAGAAAGTTCCCACAAGAAAAGAACTGGTTTCTACAGGGATTATGACATTCCATTTCCTCAGGTATTACCTTTTTAAAAAAATTGTGATAAAATAAACATAATGTAAAATTTACCACTTTAAGTATTTTTAAATGTACAATTCACTGGTGTTAAGTATGGTCACAATGTTGTTCAACCATCACCACTATCCATTTGCAGAAATTTTTCATCATCCCAAACAGAAGCTGTGTACCCATTAAGCAATAACACCTTGTTTTTCCCTGCCCCCTAGCCCCTAAAAACCACTATTCTACTTTCTGTCTCTGGGCTTCTGCCTATTCTAGGTACCTCATATAGGTAGAATCATACAGTATTTATCCTTTTGTATCTGGCTTATTTCACATATCATTTTTTATGTTATGATATAACTTACCACTTACCAGTTTTTTTTAAGTTTCATCTGTGTTGTAGCATGTGTCACAATTTCATTCCTTTTTTAAGGCTGAATAATATTCCATTATATGTGTATACTGCATTTTGTTTATCCATTCCACTGTTGGTGGACACTTGGATTGCTTCCACCTTTTGGCTATTGTGAATAATGCTGAAATGAACATTGGTATACAGGTATCTCTTTGAGACCCTGCTTTCAGTTCTTTGGGTATATACCCAGGAGTGGAATTGTGGATCATATGGTAATTCTGTATTTAACTTTCTGAGGAACCACCAACTATTTACCAAAACAGTTGTACTATTTTACATTCCCACTAACGATGCATAAGGTTTTCTGATTTTTTCACATCCTTGCCAAACTTATTTTTCATTTTTTTTAACAATAGCTTTCCTAATGGGTATGAATTGGTATCTCATTGTAGTTTGGAGGTATTGCCTTTTAAAGGGAAAAATAAAACTTTTGATTTTATTATTTGCTTCAGATATTTTGAAAAAATGTTTTTATAAGACATATGTTACAAATTTTAAAACTTTGAAAATAAAGAATATATCATGTATTAGTTTGCTAGGGCTGTCGTAACAAAATACCACAGACTGGTGGCTTAAACAACAGAAATTTATTTTCTCACAGTCTGGAGGCTAGAAGTCCAAGATCAGGGTGCCAGCAGGGTCTGTTTCCTCTGAGGACCTTAAGGGAAGGATCTGTTTCGGCCTCTCTCCTTGGCTTGTAGATGGCCACCTTCTTACTGCTTTCTCCTCACATGGTCATCCCTCTGTGCTCACACACCCCTGGTGACTCTCTGTGTGTCCAGATTTCCTCTTACAAGGTCACTAGTCAGATTGGATCAAGGCCCACCCTCGAAGCCTCTTTTTAACAATTACCAGTTTTAAGAAGGACTCTAGACTTTCTGAGCTCTGGCTTCTGCCTAACTGCCAATATGCTTTTCTACCTGAGCTCTCTTCTTTTTCCTGATTTGGTGTTCCTAGTCTCTTGTGAGTTTAGAAACCAAATTACTGTGTTTGTTAGAGTTCCTTCTGTTTCCCTATTGCATTCTTTTTAGTTGAGGTTGCTCGGTAAGTGACCATTGAATAAATGAAGTTTTATTAAAGTGTCTTATTTTAAAATCGGAAAAGAATTATACTCTAGTTAATAATTTTGTCTAGTTAGGTGCATATTAGAATGTATGTATATATTCAGTGTGTCTAGTAATTTTGGAATTAGTGGTTGCTGCCATTTCTCAGAACATTTTAACAGTATTCACTAGAATTATTTTTACAATTAATGACAAAATTTTAAACCGGTTCAATTTGGCAGACACTGATGTGGTACCTAAATTTCATCATTTGCAGTTGGATTTATTTTTTAGAAATAGTCAAAAGTAAGGACTGGCCCCATACCTGAGTGATTAAGTTCATGTATTCCACTTCAGCAGCCCAGGGTTTCACCAGTTTGGATCCTGGGCATGGACCTAGCACTGCTCATCAAGTCATACTGAGGCATTGTCCCACATAGCACAACTAGAAGGACCTGCAACCAGAATGTACAACTATGTACTGGGAGACTTTGAGGAGAAGGAGGAGAAAGGAAAAAAAAAAAGCATTGGCAACAGGTGTTAGCTCAGGTACCAATCTTAAAAAAAAAAAGGGAAATAGTCAAAAGTCATTTGGAGATTCTTCCAATGAATGAAAACAGGTACAGGTGGGCATTACTATTTTAGATAACTAGGCAGTTGAAAATAGCAAGTAGTGAGATTTTTAACCTCTTAATTCATACCCTCTTTTTTTTTCCCCTTCCCAAAGCACCAGTACGTGGTTGTATATTCTAGTTGTAAGTCGTTCTTGTTCTTCTATATGAGCTGCCACCACAGCATGGCAACTGACAGAGGGGTGGTGTAGTTCCGTGACTGGGAAGTGAACCCAGGCCACCAAAGCAGCAAGTGCTGAACTTTAACCACTAGGCTATCTGGGCTGGCTCTAAGCTCTTAATTCATAAACTGTCACTGAAAATAACTCCAGAAGAGAAGATACAGAATATTTAAAACAGTAGCAGAAGTATTATAATAAATACATAGCATTTTATGGGGGCTACTCTGAAGGACAGGATCCATTTGTATGTTTAAACAATTCAGTGCATTGTTTAAGTAATTCCTATTTTCTTAAACATTATAGTTTTTACTGTCATTATATTGACTACTGTGTCTCCTTACAGATACAATGTAATTATTTTTGTTTCTAAGATTCAGTTAAAGTAATTAAGAAAATGATCTTTTATGTTTACCCACATTTCATTTTCAGTGCTCTTTGTTGCTTTGTGTAGATCTGAGTGTCAATCTAGCGTTGTTTTCTTTTAACCTAAAGCACTTCATTTAGTCTTTATTTAGCATTACTTGTAGTGCAGGTTTGCTGTCAATAAATTCTCATAGCTTTTATTTATTGGGAAATTGTTTATTTCACTCTTACTTTTAGTAATTTTTAACTTTGTCGTAATGACTTATAGAAAAGTTGCAAGAATGGTACAAAGAACTTCTGTATCTCTTTCACCCAGATTCTCCACTTGACGTTTTACAGCATGTGCTTTGGTTTATCCTTTCTCTCTCTTCTCTTCTCTGCAGAGGGATCTAATTTGCCTTTAAGCCCATTTATTAAGTTCTTAATTTCAGTTTGTGTATTTTCCCCTCTAGAAACTTATTTCTTTTTCAAATCTTCAAAATAATTTTTATAGTTTCTAGTTCCCTGCTGAAATTCTCATACTGTCTTTTGAAAATACCAAAAGATAGAATATAGTATTAACTTCTAGCTATTAAATTGGAGGACTTACTATATTTTCCCTTTTCCTCATCCTTGTTTAGGGTCTCCTGTTCCCTTATTTTATATTTACAGTGGTTGCCATGGAGCCAATTTCTGTTTTACAGAAACCAAACCTGCCCCCACAGACATTCTAGCAGGGTATATAGCCTAATAATCAGTCAGCAAAGTGATTAGAGAAACTATATCCTTTGGTACAATTTATAGTCTTCTTCATTTCTTTCATCTTCTCTCAGGAAGGCTTTAAAAAATACTTGGTAGATCCTTGATGATGAATATCTTTTGTTCATTCCAAATGATGGACATGTGAAGCAAAAGGAGATATTCTCCTAGCCTAGCGAGCTGGGGCTGCTCTATAACCCGTCGTTCATTTAGGGCTTTCTGGAGAGCTTGCACCACATGGGTGGTGATCTGATCCAAACACTAAACTCCTCAGTAGGCCACATTAGAGTCTTTGAGTGCAGAAGGAGCCCTGAGGTGAGAGGTTTGCATCAGTAGAGGGCTACGAGGAATTTTTGGAGTTGGGAAAACTTGGGAAGGGGTAAACTGAAAGTTTAGGGATAATTGTATTTAAAAGGGTAGGAATATGGAGATTATTTTTGTAAAGGCTGTGAAAAATCAGAGAATTGAATTAATATTAAGAATTAAAAGCTTTTATGACAAGCATCTAATCTCCAGAGAAAAATTCGTGCTCTCGCATTAACAGAGTAATTCTTTAGTCATGAAGCATTGAAATATATCATCGAAGTATTAATATAGTCACATTTTTATAAGAGTAAATGTAAGTACCATTCAACTAATTAATCTTCAACTTAACCTAAGCAGTTATTTTTTGTTTTATTTTCATAGTGGCTTTTTAAAAAATGTCAGAAACTCTGCCTTTTGGCTACAGTTGTAAATCATCTGAATTTCTGAAGAGCGACTGAGAACAGTTATACACTTTAAAAATACAGCTTAAAACAAATCAGAAATCTAATACAATGTCTTCAAAATTTAAAATTTTGATGAGCTACTTGATTTTCTTGATTGCTTTAGTTGTTTTTTTCCCCTCTATTATATAATTACTGAGAAGATCTTAATATTTCTCTGCATTTTTTTAAAAACACATATACATGTTGGTATTATGCCAGGGCAGAATTTTTATATCACATTGAAAATGTACTAAGCTGAATATGAGTCATGGTCTGGGTTTTTCTGGATCCTCAAGTTGTAATTCTGTGCACCTTTGTCTTGCTTTCTTATAAAAAAAATTGACAGAAGAGATGATAGAACTAATAAAAATATTTCCGTAAATAGAGATAGCTTTGAATACTATCATTAAATAAACTTCTGGGACTAAAGTATATTCTTTGTTTTCACATGCTTTAGTAAAGAAGCTGTAAAATTATTAATGTATACTGTAATAAGTAGTTCCTCATGAGCAGTTTATTTAATAGATGTTTTTCACTATTAGAGAAATCTCTGTTTTTTTGTTAGACCTCAGATGTAAACATTTTCTTTTTATAAAATTTTCTACACATATAGTTTTAAAAAATATATAACATGCTTAACATGTTATTTGGGAATTTTTCAGTGTTAGGAGAATATATATATTTTTCTACCCCACCCCAAGCTATTTTACTATCTTTTCCTTATTTTCAAAAAGATCTTCTCAGTTTTTTGGAGAAGGAATTCATGTAAGATGGTATGAATTTTTAAGTATTCCTGTGTGTACAAATATTGAGTTATGGGACATGGAAAACAAGAAGCATGGGACATGGAAAATAAAAAGTGAACCAAACACCCACCAGCAAGGATCTATGAACATTGTAATGTTGAGTAATATCAGGATAGCGTTTAGCTGTTTTTTTTTAAATAGTATCAAAGATAAGTACTAACCAAGAGACAGAACTAATAACTGTCTTTTTTTCTCTTTTTTCTTCCAACTTTCTGGGAGAAAAAAGATGTTCTGTGTTACTGTTAATTCCTATATATAACTGAAAAATCCTGATAATGATTATCCATTTTCACTTAGCGTGGACATATATCAGGAAGTTACATAACATCAAAGAAGAGTCAACATAACAAAAAATTTAAAAGTAAAGAATATGATGAGTACAGTACCTACAGTGATGACAACTTCGGTAACTACAGTGATGACAATTTTGGTAACTATGGTCAGGAAACAGAGGAAGATTTTGCCAGTCAGCTGAAACAATACAGACAAGCTAAAGAAACCTCAAATACTGCTTTAGGATCATCATTTTCTAAAGAATCAGGGAAAAAACAAAGAATGAAGGGAGTTCAGCAAGGTAAGTTTGAAATTCTCAGTCCATTTTTGAATATGAGAACCTTATTAGAACAGGTAGCTATGGAGTAAAAACTTAAATTTCTTAGCCCTTACTCAAGATGAGCTTCTTCTTGTGGTTCCTGAATTATTTTTGCTTTATTTGTAGTCTTTGAGTGCAAAAAATCTATAAATATTTCAATCTGTATGATATCTTAATATATGAATTAGAAAGCTATCCTGATATTTTAAAAGTATATAAAAATGTAAAACAACTTTCCTGATATGTTTTCCTGTCCCTTCTGTATGATATCAGTATGCTGAAAAAATAACCACCTTTTTCAGTTGTCTTTATTACTCTACACATTACTTTATATTTTAGACCTATAAGGACAGAATTCTGGGAAGCTGTTCTTTTATTAGGCTTTAAAATAATGGCAATCGTTTCTGTTATGCAAGTGTATTTAGGATTGTGGACATATCCTTCAAGATTGGAAATAAGAACATAATCAAAAAAAATTTATGGAGTGATCACCTATTCATCTTCTATATTGAGGTACATGGTCCCTGAAGAGACCAGGGCAGGTTGCCATAGAAATTTTGGGTCACAGAAGGGTCAAATCAACCATAAGAATTGTTCAGTCAGTATGACTGCTTCAAGAAAACTGGAGCTAGTCTAATACCTTTGTATGGTGACAGATGGTTACTAGATTTATCTCAGTGATCACTTCATAACGTATATAAATGTTGGATCACTATGTTGTACACCTGAAACTAATATAACATTGTATGTCAACTCTATTTTGATTAAAAAAAAAGAAGAGAAAACTGGAGCAAGATGAGGCTGAGGCAAATTAGTGAGCACCCAAACCCTATGTAGCTATCCTTTAATTGTTGAAAAAAGGAATGAGTAAATTTGGTTATTTCTATGACTTTATTTTTTCTTGATTTCCTAGTAGAAGTCCTTTGAAAAATATGAATCTAGGCTTTGATGAAGTAAAGAGAAAGGAATTTGTCTATACAGATGCTATTGTAATCAGAAAGTTTGTTCCTGGAGTCTAGACATAGTGCTGGCAGGGATCATTCCACTTGCGGAATAAGGGGAATGTGGAGAAGCCTTGCTCATACCTTCCCACCTGAAGTTTTTCCTTTCAAGCTCTTCCTCTTTGTTCTGTTAAAGAATTAAGTGTTGCATGTTATTTTTGACGTTCATTTTTCTCCCTGAATTATGAAAGTAATATACAGTCAAATGCAGAAAACTTTTTCTATGTGTAGAAAAGATAACCCAGCAAAAATCAAAGATGAAACAAAAATATTTTGAACCCAGAGATAATTACTGTTAGTATTTTTGTTGTACATTCTTCCAGAATTTTTCTGACAATTATTTTTTAACAAAAAACTGCACATACTATTGGAATTTGCTTTTTGTTCTTAACTACAGATTGTATCTCATTCTTATGTTAATGAGTAGCTTTTAATGCCTACATAGTATTAAATAGATATATCATAATTTGTCTAACAAATTGTTACATTTGTTTGGTGGTAATTGAGATTTAAGTTGCACCCAGTTTTTTCTTTTAATTCTGTGATTAATCATGCATATTTATATATATCTCAGAAAACATCTTGGCAAACTTTTTTCTTAAGAATAAATCCTGAAATGTAGAATTGAGTCAAAAGACATAGCCACACATTTGAAGATTTTTGATCTGTATACATACCAACTTATATCCAAAAAAGTGATGTACCAATTTATAACACACCTGCCAGTGTGTGAAAGTGCCAATTTCTTCAAATCCCTACTGATACTATTCTTTGAGGTGAAAATTGGTGTTATTTTTTAAATTTTAATTTCTTTGATTTCTTTTAATGAAGTAAAACATTTTTTTCACTTATTTATTGGCTGTTTTGTAGGTTTAAGGTCATTAGAAAACTCATTAGTTCAATATGACTTTGGTAAAATGAGAAATCTCTTTATATTGTAACTTACTACCCTAATATATAATTTTTGTAATTTGAATATCTTTTTAGATATTTTAAATATCAGGTTTTTCAAAACTAAAAAACAAGTATACCTTTTACTTGGAGATATATGGTATCTACTCAGAATTATCAGTAGAAACTCAATTTGCTACAAATTAACCACTAATACCTATAGTGTTTTCCTTAGAGATGAATCTAATATTTAATTCTCTTTAAAAAAAAGAAAACACTGTTAATTTTTTATTCTAAGGAAAACTGAAGAGAATAAAACTAGATTTGACTTCTCCAACCATGTATATTCTTGTTCTTTGCCTTCCTTATGTTGTTAACATCCCTTAAGAAACAAAAGAATAAGAAGCAGTACCCAGGAAGTGAAATGTAAAGATTGAATTAATTTTTTCGTTGAATCTAGAGGGAATACACTGTACATTATAGACTATTTAAAATATGCTATTCCCTATAAACCAATAGGCTGACAGGTGTGCTGTTTTTCTATACTATTTGAGTACATTTTAACTTTTTTAGGTATTGACCAGAGGGTTAAAAGTTTTAATGTTTGTCGTGGACGTGGTTTGCCGAAGAAAATCAAACGCAAGGACCGTGGAGGAAGAGCCAATAAAGGTCCTAATGCCTTTTCAGGAATGGATGACTTTCAAGAGGTACTGAGAATTTGTATATAATGGAGAGAGGAGCTTTTCCATCTTTTAATCTATTTGGCTGCAAAGAAATCATTGTGGTTTTAATGCTGCTTTCCTAGTAAATGAAATATTTCCAGCTCAGATCAAATGAATATAAATAAATTCCCCCCAAAATTGCTGCTTTAATTAGTCACGATACTAGTATAGAGATGCAAATTCACATGGCCTCAAAATAAAATTGGTATGTCTGAAAGCAAGAATGTATGCTCTGTTAGTTCTGTTGTGCTTTTCCTTCCTAGGAGTCATCCTCCCTAGATGCAAATGGCAATAAAATGCTAATAGCTCAGTATGTAGCAGGGCCAAGAAGGAAGATAGTGGTAAATTAACTTACTTATTAGAGTTGAAAGCATTGAAAGAGAATAAAAGGAGATTTTAGCGGTTGGAAGAATGAACTTATGTGCCTTGTGTATAGTAGATATTGAATAAATAATATGTGGAAATTGAGTTAAACTCTGAATACGTACATTTCAACTTTGTAACAGGTCTCTGGATTAGCAATTTATTGTGATGTGAAAACACTTGGTTTTCTGATCCCTAGGTTTAAAGATAATGGGAAAAGATTTCTTGATATGTGCTCGTTAGTATACTATTTAGGGAGATGTTAATAGGTGTGACCTAAAAAAAGAAATTCAGGCCCAAATAAATTTGTGAAACCCAGCACATGCCACCCTACTCTTGGGGATTCTCAGTTGACATTAATGTATTAAAGTCTCTGAGCAGGTTAGGCATGAAGAAACTCAGTTTACGTTATTCGGCCGATCATTTTCAAAATTTACTTGACCATAAGCACTTTTTCCCCCACACACTTATTAACATACACTGAGCCACTCACACTTCCAGGGAATAGCAGCTCTGGAAACAAGCTTAGAATTTCTCTAATTGTACCCTGCCTGTCCATCTTCCTAAATACCAGTAGATCTCTAGAATATGCTGCTTTCCCTAGACCAAATTAATATGAATGCTTTCTAAGTAAGCCTTCTCCTATATCCAATACTTACACCCTATACCTGAAAAAAAAATTAGCTTCCAAGAAAGTGTGATTTTGAGCAAGTTACCACCTGTCTCTGAGCTTCAGTTTGCTCAATCTGTAAAATGAGAGTATAGTGTTAAATTAACTCTAAAGGCACCTTCCAGCACTTAAATTTTAGATGTTTACAGGTCTGGGCTGCAACCAAAAGGTTCTTTATCATGTAATAGAAAATCTGAATAAATTCTTTCTTTTGTATTCATCAGATTTAGAATATTTTTGTTTTATCAAAATTTAAATATGTTATTGACTATTTCAGTTTATTGGCTGACACAGGAGGTTTTTTCTTATGATTCCAGAAACAACCATGAGAGTGCTAGAGCCCAAGAAAGCAGCTCATGTTCAGGAGTGGTCAGGGGGCGGTCCATTCAGAGTAAAGCAAACATGCTAGAGTAGCCAGCGTAGATCCGTTTCCATCCTCGCCCTTTCAGGAGGTGACACCCCTCACAGGCCAGATAAATTCAAGGATACCTGCATGTTCACAGTGATTTTCTTGAAAACTCAAGAATAGTGACAGAATAAGCAAATTTTTGATGGCTTTTAAAGACTTATTCCTTCTGTTGGGGATAAAACTTAGAGTGTTTTAGTCTTTATAGTAACTATTAAATTTTCTGTAGATACATATTCTTTTCTTGGTAGATCTTTTCATTTCTTCTTATATATTAAAACAAATATTTTATGCTCCTGTTCCTTATACTAATATGTCTTCTGGATTAAGTAAATTTTAAAATGACCAAGTAGGTAGTTGGTTTTCCCTCTCACCCCTCCGTGTTGTTTGAATTGTTTTTTCTTAGAGATAGTATAATCTGGCGCAGAGTTCGATCTTGACTGCTAACTTTGCCATGCGGCCTTTGGTGTAAGTTAGGAACTTCTCTGATCTTCAGTTTTCATACTTGTCCAGTGAAGGTGATGAACTAAATTACTTCTGCAGTTCTTCCGTCAATTAAATACGCGGCCTTAAGGGGAGAGGACACTGTGGTTCTTGTATAAGTTCAACCTTAAAGGATGAGATCTTCTAAGCACTTTATTTTGTCCTACAATTTTTTGTTAAAGTTGCTTTAGGTTTTCTACAATACCTTAATTCTATGTAATCAGGTTTCCCATAGTTACAGATACTGAGATACTTTCTACTCATTTAAATTGACCTAAATTAAATTTTAAAAAACTGCACAATCCTCTCTTAAAACAATGAGGCGTATCATTGGAAAGTAACATAGACAGACAGAAAGGTGAACTATTAATGAAACATAGGTAACAACTTTGTGCATTTTCAGGGGGTTTTTTTGGTGATTACCTAATAGTTTTACATTTTAATTTCAGAGTTATATTCCTTAAGTTGGCCCATTGATTTTGCATAATGTACTCTCTTTGGCTGCCTATTTTATTACAGCCACAATTCTTTGTATAGAAGGAATATGGGAGCTGGTTGTTTATTTCTACTTGTTCTAAATGAACCCACAAATAGAAAATGTTTATGAATCAAATTTATGTAGATTTCAGATATTTTAAATGATCCTATCAGAGTATAATATAAGCAATGTCATGGTTTCCTGGGGTAATTTGGGTATACCTATATTTTTAGAAAGAACCTTTTGGAGTGTCTGTTTTCTTGGTATTCTTATACTTTTTTTCAGAATTCTTATGGTAACATATGTATTTCAGTTGTGAGTGCTGAGGATCAGATTTAAAGCTAGCCATCTATTCCCTCAAGTGTTTGCTGTGAGGTAGTTTCCTATTTTCTGTACATTGTGCTTTGTTCTCCATCTCCTAGCAAATTGAGGGGAAGGGACAACTGAAATCAAATCAGAAGAGCGAATAGTTATTGAGTTCCTATGATGCGCAAGGTGTGATGCATGCTAGATGCTTGAAAAATAATGCTGCTTTATAGAGCTCACGGATGTAAGTCCCTAGCATAGCTAAGCATCATACTCTCTTGTCACTCTGTCTTCTTATATTCATGGCAAAAGTTGAACAGGGGCCTGAGGAGAACTAAGGAAAACAAGGAGGGCTGTGCAATGTTTCTACCATACACTTCTTTTTCTTAATTATTTTTTTGGGGGCGGGGGGGGGTTGAGAAAGATTGGCCCTGAGCCAACATCTGTTGCCAGTCTTCCTCTTTTTGCTTGAGGAGGATTGTCCCTGAGCTAACATCTGTGCCAGTCTTCCTCTATGTTGTATGTGGGACGCCGCCATAGCCTGGTTGGTGAGCAGTGTGCGGGTCCATGTCTGGGACCTGAGCGTGTAAACCTGGGCTGCCAAAGCAGAGCACATAAACTTAACCGCGATGCCACTGGGCTGGCCCCTTCTTAATTTTTTAAAATTTAAAAGTTAAGGATAATACATCCTCTCTGGTTGTTTTTTATTTTTTCCTAAAGAAAGTAAGAAATAACCACATATGCAAAAAAATCTCATCTTTTAGAGATCTTTCTGGAGACATACACTGTGAAATGTGGGGGTGTATTCTTTTACTCTTTTTTTCTTTGTCTTTATTATAAAATTGGGATCAATTTTTCACTTAGTATTCTGAATATTTTCTTATGTCCCCAAATTGTTTTTCCGTCCCATCATTTTTTTTCCTTCTCCCCAAAACCCCTCAGTACATAGTTGAATATTCTGGTTGTAGATCCTTCTGGCTCTGCTAAGTGGGACACCGCCTCAGCATGGCTGCATGAGCAGTGCTAGGTCCATGCCCAGGATCTGAACCAGTGAAACCCTGGGCCACTGAAGTGGAGCGCATGAATGTAACCACTTGGCCATGGGGCCGGCGACCCTCCCATCATTTTTTAGTGACTGCATAATATTCTACCACCTAAATGTATCATAATGTATTTGACCTAGTCTCCTAGTTTTGGATGTGTAGAGTCTTTCTAGGTTTTTTATTTTTATTTTTTACTATGTAAGTAATTTTGCAGTAGTTATTTTTGTGAATAAATCTTTGTGTGCCTCCCTGATAATTCCTTTGGAATAATCCTGAAAAGTACAAATTCCGTGTCAAACAATGTGGGTAAGTCTTTTGTAACATACATATCAATAATACATGAGTGCATATTTTACTGTACCTTTGCCAAAACTGAGAATTAGTGTTAATTTTCAAGCTTTTCATAATTTTGTTTTTAAAAATGTAGTTATACATCCTCATTAAAATAGAAACAGAGTTCTTTGCAACCATTAGTAGCAATAAGCAGTTTACTGGAAGCATATCTCTCTCCGAATAACTGAATAGCATGAGAATGTCCAATCTTGACCACTTTTAGTAGTCAGTTTCTACTGCTTTCCAGATCCGTTTGACTATACATTTTAATACCTATTTAATATTTCATATGTTGCATTGAAATGAAATTTTTTTTCTTGCAGTATAGTAAACCAGGGAAAAAATGGAAAGTTATGACTCAGGAATTTATTAATCAGCACACAGTGGAACACAAAGGAAAACAAATCTGTAAATACTTTCTGGAAGGGAGATGTATTAAGGTAAATTTATAAGGGTATCATAAATCATTTTAATTTCCAAAATAATCTTTTAAATTTAAAATCTTTTTGGGGGTGGTTAGTTTTTCACTTCTTGTATAGTTATAATAAAACTGGTTCTTCAAAATGTATCTTGCATGGAAATACTGTACATCAGAGCTCATTAATTATATTCTGGGACAGTAATTTGTAGAAATGAGTTTTTTTTGACAAACACGTAACTCTGTGTGGCAAATACTGTTCAAAGTGGATTACTAATATTAAATGTTTTAATCTTCAGCGAGCCTATGAAGTAGTTACTGTTATTATCCCCATTTTGTACATGGCCAAACCAAGAGGTTAAATAAGTCCCCACAGTAGCTCAGCCAGAAAAGGTGAGTACTAGTGGGACCCAGGCAGCATCCTCTGAGTGTTGCTCAGGCTGCCTCTCTGCACGTAGCCACATCCACTCTCTGGGGCAAGAATTCTGAGGGATTGTTTGAATTATTATTAGCTCATTATTTAAAGACTGGAGATAGGACCTTAGTTCCACCATGAAACACCATGGAGAAAATTCAGTTGTTTCTTTTTTCTCTGTTTTCTTACTTTCTTTTCTTTTCTTTTTTGTAAACAGGGAGATCAGTGTAAATTTGATCATGATGCAGAGTTGGAGAAGAGAAAAGAGATCTGCAAATTTTATTTACAAGGATATTGTACCAAAGGAGAGAACTGCATTTATATGCATAATATCCTTTTTAAAAAAATATGGTAATCAAAATACTGAGGTTTTAAAAAATCATAAGTACAACCTAGAAAGCCTAGTTGGATTTTAAATTTAAAATAGCACATTACATAAATCAAGTGTAGTCAGCCTTTGTACTTCAAAAGGGCAAACTGAGTTTTATTCTTTAGGGAAATGAAATAACCTCCCTTTGCAAAAAGAATCTATGAAATAAAAGTACTTTATATTTAAAATATTCAGCTTATAAGTATTACAAGAGACTGTGCTTCCTGAAGGAGTAGTTGGCAAAGTATTTATTCTATGACTTAGTTATTTTCCTTAGGTTCATAAGTAATAAATTATCATCATTGAAAATTATAAAATCAAAATTTCATCAAATCTTGCCACCTAATGATAAGCACTGTATAGTCTTCCTTATTTCTCCCTTTGGAAATATGTACATTTAAATTGTACTTCTGCCCCCACCAAAATTTGCATTTCAACTATATATAGTCCTTTTTTAAAAAAAATAACATATTGTGCATCTTTCCACGTTAATCTCCCTTCCCTCCCTCACATATCTAGCTGCTTACTCACTACCATTTATTACTAATGGAGTCTTTCCTCACTGATTTGAAACTCCGTCTTTATCATAGATGAAATGTTTATATGAATGTTTTTTCCCAGACTGTTTGGCTCCGTGGATCTGTTTGCCCTTGCGTCTCTGTTGCTTTGTTGTGATGATTTCTCCCTCACCAGCACACTGTGATGTTTGGTAGAGTCTCACATTTATTTTTCCAGATAAATATTAAAATAGTCTCATCTAGTTCAAAAAATGTTTAAAAAAGTGAAAAATCTCTGTTATCACAGATCTAAATGTAAAAAATGAAACCATACAAATACTGGAGGAATACGTGAAAGGATTCCTTTATAATCCAGAGGAACAGATAACTTCCTCAAATGTGACTGAGGCGGCATCCCACATGCCACAACTGGAAGGACCCACAACTAAAAATATGCAACTGTGTACTCGGGGGCTTTGGGGAGAAAAAGGAAGAATAAAATCTTTAAAAAAATTATTTCCTAGTGTTAGTAGAGTAAGAGATTGAAAAAGTTTTTGAATGTTTTGCTGCATAATTAAAATATTTGATCTTAAAATAAAAATTAAATTATCTGGCATGATTGTAGAAAATTCAGTACAGTATATAGTAATACAGTCTTACTGATTCAGACACTTAGGTTTTTTGGTTTAAAAATATTAAAGTTTGATTTTACTTGGTCTATTCCTTAATGTTTTTATTTACATGAATTTCCATGCAAGTTCTATCATAGTGGAGCAAAATGTTACCAAGGAGACAACTGTAAATTTTCACATGATGATCTGACTAAAGAAACAAAGAAACTTTTGGACAAAGTGAGTAGTATTTTTGCACCTTGATTATTTGTTAGGTCTCTCCATAGATTCATTTGGCTAGAATCATGTTTAATACATCATATTTTTAAAAAACTCTGTGGAGAAATCAAGGATTTGTTATTTTATGTTTTATTCTATTAATGTAGTGTGTTAGAAAAGCAGAAATAGTGGACCAGGAATTAAGAATCTTTTATTCTTATCCTTGTTCTGCCATTAAGAAAGCTAATTTACTTTGAGAAATATGCTTTTTCTCTTTCTCTTTATCAAAAATGAGTTAGCTATCACTAATCTATTTCAACTTTAATATTTTATTTTCCTGTTAACAAAACTAGTTTACTGAAGTCTTCACGGTTTTAAGCATGAGGAAGAAAGCTTGTTTTGAAATAGTAATCTTTGCCAATTATTTTAGGTGTTGAATACTGAAGACGAACCAACAAATGAAGATGAGAGAGAATTAGAAGAACTTAGAAAGCGTGGTATAACTCCTCTTCCCAAACCTCCTCCAGGAGTTGGGCTTCTGCCAACCCCACCAGAGCATTTTCCGTTTTCTGATCCTGAAGATGATTTTCAGACTGATCTCTCTGATGATTTCAAGAAAATTCCATCTCTTTTTGAAATAGTTGTAAAACCTACTGTGGATTTAGCACATAAGATAGGGAAGAAGTAAGTTAAAATTTTAAGAAATGGTGACATTTTCCCCTAAGAATTCTTGTTAAGAAACTAACTTATATTGCATGTCAGACTTAGGTAGAGATAGCAGATATCTGGCATACCCCCCCATTGCTGCTTCCCCCTCTCTCTCGTCCCCACCTTTTGCTGCCCACCCTTCGTGCTTTCCTCTACAGAGTCCTTAATGGAATCCATAACGCAGCTTCGGAAACCTCTCCACTTAGTAATCCTGAAGGACATTGCCCAGTGGATGCAATTGGTGTCCCTCTCACCTTGTTATGAGGCTGCATTGTCACTGATAATGTCTTCAGATAGTGGGTAATATGTCTTCAGCATATTTGGATCTTTTAGAGAGGTATTTCCTAGAGCTATTAGAGGAAAAACTCTGGGTAAGGTGGATCCAGTTTGGCATTTTCTAACAACACCATTCCAGTCCTTCTGCCCATGCCCCAGTGTCTGTGCACCTGGGCCCTAAGTCTCATTGTCAATTATTCTTTTAACCCTGAATGCTCAGGGGAGCAATGAGATCTCAGCGAATGAGGAACAAGATATCTATAGCAAATATCACAATTAATGTGAACCATTAAAAGTATTTCTATTAAGGTCAAGAAGACAAATGTGTTCGTGGTTTTGCTAATATCGTATATCAGATCCTAATCAATGCAAAAAGAGGAAGATATAATGGATATAAAAATTAGAAATGGAGAGGTAGATTCATTATTTGGGCAGTTTCCCTCAGTAAATCCAAAGGAATCAACTGACAAAACTATTAGAAATAAAAGTTAAATTGGTAAGAGGTCCAGAAAGAAGAGCAACATTCAAAACCTAAGTGTTTTTATATGCCAGCAATAACCAACTAGAAATTGTAATAAAAGTTGTGTGTTTACATAGTATAATTCTAATTTTATTATTTAAAAAAAGGTCTATGTATACTAGAAAAAGGACCAATGCCTAGAATAGAACCAATCAATTTTATCTCTGGGTTGTAGGATTAGAGATGATTTTTATTTTTCTTTGTTCTTTTCTGTATTTTTCAGAATATCAATAATGAGTAGGTTTTATAATGGCTGATAGTAAGCAGCAATTAAGAAAACTGTGGGCTAAAACGAAGGCAAGATGTATATGTTGGTGTTTCTGCTTGTAGATAATATGAAATAAATTGCTTCTTAAAAACATAGTATTCTGATATAGAAAAACATACTTAACCAATATCTATTTAGAAATGTAACATTCTTGTTTGCCTCTTTTGCGCTAAGAAGTCTTTTTTCTTTCTGTCTATAGGCCACCAGCATTTTATAACAGTGCCTCACCACCAGGACCACAATTTCAGGAAAGCAGCCCACATCCTCAACATATCTATAGTTCTGGGTCAAGTCCGGGTCCTGGACCTAATATGTCTCAGGGACACAATAGTCCTGTGATGCACGCAGGCTCCCCTGGACATCATCCATGTGCAGGACTTCCTGGTCTGCCAATGCCACAGAGCCCACCTTTGCCACCTGGTCCACCTGGAATTGTAGGCCCTCACAGTCAAGCTGGAGTACTTGTTCAACCAGATACACCTTTGACACCACCAAGTATGAGTGGTACTTACCATTGCCCGGGCTTTCCAGAACACATAATGAAAGTACCTAGAGAGAATCACTGTTCTCCAGGTTCATCACACCTGCAAAATCCTGGTGAAATGCAGCTCACTGATTATGAGTCCCTACAAAACCCAACTGAATTTTATGATAATTACTATTCACAGCATGCTGTACATAATTTTCAGCCTCCCAATAACTCTGGTGGTAAGTTTGCCTTTTGATATAACTCATTTCTAATTTAGAGTCCTTTTTTTTTTGCTGAGGAGGATTAGCCCTGAGCTGATATGTCTTGGCAATCTTCCTCTCTTTTTGCTTGAGGAAGATTAGCCCTGAGCTAACATCTGTGCCAGTCTTCCTCCATTTTATATGTGGGTCATTGCCAAGCATGGCTTATAAATGGTGTAGGTCTGTGCCTGGGATCCAAACCTGCAAACTCAGGCCACCAAAGCGGAGCACACCGAACTTAACCTCTGAGCCATGGGGCTGGCCTCTAGAGTCCTATTTTTAGAGTCCTATTTCCATTGAAAGCATGATAAGATTGTATGTTTTAAATAAAGCTAAGTAAAATGTGATGTAATTGAAACTTTAAAATATGTTTTAAATATAACCAAACATTTATGACAATAGAACTTTAGATAACTTTAAAAAATATTTACAATCACATAATTTGATAATCAAATGTGGTTATTATTAGCATTTCAGTTTTTTGTAACTCACAGTGGTACTGTCTAGTAGAGTTTTGTGCTAAATCCATGTCTGTCTCTTTTCATGTTATGTATGTAGATGGGATGTGGCCTAGTGAATTTGCCCAGCATCAGCCTCCCGTTGTTCAAGACTCACCTAACCGTGGGAGTGGGTCAGACAGCAGCAGCAACCTAACAGGCCACGGTCCCCTGCCTGCACCAGGTCTTCTCCCTGCAGTGCAGAGAGCTCTTTTTGTCAGACTTACTCAGAAATACCAAGAAGGTGAAGAACCAAGCGGCACCCAACCTCAAAGGGTGCCAAGCAAGGAAGAAGGTATGTCAGGTATAATAATGGTATTTTACCTATTTAGATCACTCAGTTCCTAGAATGATCTTGACTAGGTTAAAATTTGAGAAATGGGTTTCTCTGAACTATCTATTCTATTTCCAACTTAACTCATAGCTCCTTTCTTGGGATTGATTGTGGTTTCCACTGCCATTAAAGTGTTAGTAATTAATTGTGAAAGGTTTGACTTGAAGCAGTGGATAGACCTGAAGCTAGAGTGCAAGGCCTGGGCAAATAGATTTGCTGTTAAGCCTCTTTTTTTTTTTTTTGGAAGGAAAGAAATAGAACAGGAACAGGACACCTTCCAGTTCAGGAATTTTGACTTCTAGCCCAAGTTCAAAATGATTTAGTTGTTAGAGAAAGTTTTATGGGCCTAGGCTGTATACTTCAGGTTCTGCTATATTATTAAGAAATATTATTTTTAATATAAAAGATTACATGGTGACACTGTGTACCTTAGTATTTTTGATATTGATAAGTGTATGGCGATTAGTTAATTCAGTTAAGGAGAGAAAAGTTTGAAGCATCCAGTTCTTATGAATTACAAAATTGATATATTTGGCCACTCAAACATAAAATTTATGAAGAACTGTGTAAAACTAGATAACACTAGGTGGCTACTAGCTATTATATGAACATTATTTCTTACATTTTGAAAGAAGGTAATCATTAACTCTTCATTTATTTAACATCACAGGGAAATGAAGAATTCGTAATAAGTTAATTTCCTGTGCAATTAGGTTTACCCTTTAAATGCTAAAACTTAATTTTAACACTCAACCATCTCAATGGTAATCTTTCTATAGTCTTACAGAGCTTTATATTTTCATAAACAAGAAAGTTAAAACTTTTCCAGATGATATAAAATTTTATACTATATTATGCAGTTAGTGATTCTTTATGAGGGTTATTTTCTCTGTATACAGAAAAAATCTTGAACAGCTAGGTTTTTTTATGTATGAGTTCATTTGTATAAATTTTAATCTGTCCTTTAATAAAAAGCTAACTATCGTTTCCTATCGAATATCTGCTTTCCGTTGGCCTGTCTCTGCTGTCCTACTTTCTTTCTGTTCTGTATTCATTGTCATTCCAAAAAGGATTTGAGACTGCTCATAAAATATATTGACATGAAAGTGAAAAGAAAATAAGAAGTAAATTCTATAAGGGGTGAAATTTCTATACGGAAATATTTAAAAGAACTGCAACAGGTAAAAGTGAATCACAGGTCCAGCTGTAGGCTTCCGGGAGGTCAAAGAGAAGAAGAAAAGAGATCTAGTGTCTAGAAGTAGTTTTTTCACACTGAGATCTGAGTAAAACTTTTTGCCATTGTGATATGGTATATACTAATTTAAACCACATCCTCACCCTAAATACCAATGCTTGTTTTGTGAGCTCTGCTCTGTTCAAATTAAGCGTGTAACACTAAAGTTCCATGTAGTAGAAACACATTAGTGAGCAGTGAAATGAGGGAAAATTAAGAATATCTATGATATTCTATCGATCCAAGGTATTCTAGGAGAGAGAGATATATATATATCTTGCCAATTCAGAGCCAACCTATGTATGTTTTAATGGAGAGGAAGGAGACTTGCCCTCCTGAAGTATCAGTTTATAATCTCTTCTATTCTACTAGAGAGAAGACCTCTGGTAGTTAAGCTTCTTAACACTGTGTCTAACACCCTAGGGGTGTCTTTAGGAGTAAGGCCCAAAGTGTTCTCACGAAGTTAAAGTATATACATTATAGGACATTAGGTTTGTTTGTTTATTTTTTAATTTAATGTTTGAATAGCTAATATATTCACATAGGGCAAACATCTAAAAATAGAATAAAGCGTAAATAGTAAAAGTCTCCACCTCATCCCTCATTTGCGCAGTTCCCATTGCTTCCTTAACCATCATTATTAGCATTTTGTTTTCTTTCCAGATGTTATTTTTATGTCTCTCCATTGTTATCTTGATAAATCCAGAGCTATGAAGCTAAAGGATTGCTTGAATTAAAGATATCCAAAACATTTTAGTATTCCTTTCCAGGAGTAGTTTCCCTTCTTTCCCAACCCTGTCATACCACATATACTTCTGAGTTCCCTTTGGCCAGTTGGAATGAAAGGTCTGTCTTTTCTCTGACTGGAAGGACATTACACATGTTCTAATATTGCACCTCTTTCTTTACAGAGTATAGTGACTGAATTGATCATTGTCATACCTCATCTTATCTTGTTCCAGTGTTGAAACTCTGGCATTTCTGTCATGCATTTTCTTGAAGTTAGACTACACTTATTTCAGAAATAGTATGTGGTTTTTTAAAATCTTAATTAAGGCCAAATATGAATGCTTCATTCTTTACAATAAGTTTTTGTCTGCATTTAGATGATACTGTTAACTGGTATTCCAGTAGTGAAGAGGAAGAAGGAAGCAGTGTCAAGTCAATACTGAAAACATTACAGAAACAAACAGAAACTTTAAGGACTCAGCAACAACCTTCCTCAGAACTCAGCCCTCCTACTGATCCAAGACTTGCTAAAGAGAAAAGTAAAGGAAATCAAGTTGTTGACCCTAGACTTAGGACTATCTCAAGGCAAGACATTAGAAAATCTTCTGAGTCTACCCCACTGGATCTTAGACTTGCATGGGATCCCAGGAAATTAAGAGGGAATGGAAGTGGTCACGTAGGCTCTTCTGTTGGTGGAGCAAAATTTGATTTACATCATGCCAGTGCTGGCACTAATGCCAAACACAAGAGAGGAGATGACGATGATGAAGATACAGAAAGAGAACTGAGGGAAAAAGCTTTCTTAATACCTTTGGATTCTTCCCCTGGTATGATGCTCCAGGATCCAAGGTCACAATTGAGACAGTTCAGTCACATTAAAATGGATATTACCCTAACTAAACCCAACTTTGCAAAACACATTGTATGGGCTCCAGAAGACTTACTTCCAGTCCCTTTACCTAAACCTGACCCAGTGTCTTCAATCAATTTACCTCTACCCCCTCTGATAGCTGACCAGAGGCTCAATAGGTTATGGAATACAAAAAGCGACCTTCATCAAAACACAGTGCCCACTGATTCAAAATTAGCAGCCAAAGCCAAAATTAACACAACAAACAGAGAAGCCTACCTAGAACAATTTGGAGACTTACATAGTTCGGGAAGTAAATTAGGAGATCCTAGGCTGCAAAAAAATTTTGATCCTAGACTTCACAGACTGCATAATGCAGAGTCTCATCAAGCAGTTATGAAGGATTCACATACATCAAAGAGTGCCCCTCATTTAGCCAGAGCAAACCCTGGTTCATCACAGCCCTCAAGGGCAGTAACTAGCAATTCTGGTCCTGGGGTTTTGCCTCCATATGCTCCTAAGCTCTCATCTTCAGCTGGCCTTCTACTGGGAACTCCGAGTTCAGTTCTTAGTGGTATCAGTTTGTATGACCCTAGGGAGCATATTTCATCATCAACATCAGAACTAGCCTCAGAAAACACAGAGAACCAGAAAAAAAGTGGTAGTTTAAAAAGTAGTGATAAAAACGAGGCTTCTGGAGAAGGAATCCTGCCACAGAAAACCACTCCAAACGTGGACGTCACTGCTGATGGGCCAGCTGACCCACAGGCAGATAGTCTCCCGAGTTCTGGTATGGTTCAGGTCCCAGCAGTGCACAGTCTTCCAATTCAGGCACTCACAGGCTTAATTAGACCCCAGTACAGTGATCCAAGGCAGTCAAGGCAGCAGGGACAGGTGAGCCCCACCCCTGATGATGATCCCAGTAGAGAAACAGATGACAAATCTCTAAAAGAGGTCTTTAAAACTTTTGATCCAACTGCTTCACCATTTTGTTAGCTATTGTGTAATTAAGCTATTCTTTTCACTCTTGTGACTATTGCAGTCCTCTGCTGTTTTGTAACTGGTTTACCTCTATAGTTTATTTATTTTTAAATTATGAACACTTTTCAGCTGCTAGTATCAGAACCACGTGAAATTATATCCTCTGAAGCCTGTGGTATTTTATATAATATTTTTATAACTTTAAGAGACTGTAGTCATTGACATAGAAACGATATATCATGTTAGCTTCAGTAGAAGGACTTTTGTTGTAAATAAACCATCATGAGCTCAACACTCTGCCTGGATACATGCCAGTTGTCTTTCATAATCAATGTTTAGATAAATGATTACCACTTTTATATGGTTGTTAGTTTCAAGCAATATGATGTACATTACTTTTGGGAAACAGTATTTTGACTAGGATCCTCTCTATTTGTCAACACAGAACTGATTAATATGTAATACTAACTGCTAACTAAAATGTAAAATGAAGTAAATCATTTTTTTTAATCACAGCAGAGCAATTCATGTTTAAGGGCATCACTTTTATTAGTATTGGCAATATTATTTGTGTAAATGAAGCATTTGAATGTCCTATCTTTGAAAAGTATTTTATTGTATACTGTATCATAGAAGTTGGAGATATATAAATAGACTGTTTTACTAAACTGAAAAATTCCCAAGTTCTCTAACATAACTTTTTAAATTTAATTTTTCATATTAAATAGTTATGAGTTACTGCTCTGTTACATTGTGGTGTTTGTGTGTTTCAGTGTTTTTTGTCTTTAGCAGCATAATTTATATTACTTTTTCAAATGATGTAGCTGCAGTAATTGTATTCATCATGACTTTGGCAATTTTTAACACAATTTTACAAGATCCAGTGAGAGTCTGTAGTGATTATTGAATTGATAGTTTTCTAAATGTCCAGGTTCTATATTTTTTCGTAAATAGCAAGAAAACACAGATTGCAGGTAGAGTCAAGTGTATATGACTATGAATAAGACTCTCAGCTCTCACCTGACTAGCATTCTGTAACAGAGGAAACTGCCTGGTGTTTTAAGTATTTAATGTCCTCATAGTTTGGAAATTCCCTACATTGGTTAGCAGTTGTATTTTTATGAAAAATAATTTGTACTCATTCTTGTGTATTTATTGCAGTATATAAATAATCGCAGCCCTACTTGTTTTTTACCTACATTATTTATAACTGAAACTAAGTATTACACTGTATTCATATCTTGAACTGGTGGTATATGACAGTGTTTGCTGGTAACAACTCCAGTAACTAACTCGGAAAGAAACATTTCATTATATAAGATAATGAAAGTAGAGGAAATCGGTCCTTGGATGAAAACAGCTATCCTTTAGAAGTGATTTTAAAAATATACAGCAGGATATTTCTGTGTGAACCTAACACTCAGATAGCATGTGGTTTAATATTAATACATATCCTTTCTATGCGCTTCTTCACTGTTTACTTTCTTTTTGCCTCTGATTCCATGCTAAAATGGAGTTAACAGTTAAGTGAACAAGAACTCTGCCTACCTGAGAAGTTCATTGTGTTCTAAGTGGAAAGACAGTTGTTGAAGGGAATGGGAATTCCTACTGTTTATACTTTGGTTACATTGTTGCCTAAAATGACTCTGGGTAACATTTTTGGGTTAAAAATGCAGTTTAAAGCCACCATAGAAAGTATTTTCAGACTTACTGTCCAACGAACTTTATTGTTAAATGAAAAGTCAATAAAATGGATAAAACTGACAGAAAAAAATATATATGTGTGTGTATACATATATACACACACTTATATTCCAGTATAATATTCCTTTATCAGGATAAATCAGTAATACTGCTAAATTTTAGTAATTAAATAGAAATTTTTAGCAAATATTTAATTTACTCGTATTTTATAATTATTGTGTTAAGTAATGCTGTTTACTTTTAAATATCATACAGAAAAAGATAATTTGGCTTGTTAAAGACCAAAATGGAATCTAAATTCTTAACAGAAGATCTTTTTTACTACTAAAAGAGATGTTAAAAGATTAATTTAAAAGTAAGGTTTAAAAACTGTTAATGTAAATTATAATGTTCATTTACTCAGTATTCTTGAGCTCCTGTTACATCAGCTAGTGTCCTAAAGGCTATTTTACAAAAAAGGTTGAACTTGCTTTCAAATTTAACAATATATCTTATATAAAAATATTTATGTTTAAAATGATGATGTTTGTGATACTTTTTTATTGAGATAACTTTTGCTTAAAGGATGCTTTATTAGAGCCTGTCAACCTAGATTATTTTAATATTCTTCTTTTTTCCTGTTTTCTCACCAAAATTTAATAAGTAGCCATTTTCCCCAGTGAATAAGCTCCTCTTTAAGGTGAATTGTGTCTTTAGGATCCATGTAATCTGATTTACACTAGTACACTGAAAAGTATGTTATGTCCCTCTTCTTAGAAGCTGCACATTTAGAGATAACAGAAATAACTTGTGTCTTAAAAAGGTCTGGAACAGACTCATTGGTTGACATGTAACTTACCTATTCATACTGGTTTGTGACAGAAGTTTTATATCTGTTTGCTTTGATATTGAATAGAGTGGGATATATCAGGGTGTTGAATTGGGGTGCCCAGATGATCATAATTTATACTGAGCGACTGCTTTCTCATATCTTCTTTAGTTTTTGCTCCAAACTCCTGTCTCTGGAGCTTTCCCAGTTAGACCTCATTTCTGAACTTTGAAAATGACCCAAATGTTGGAGTAATTTCCAACTCTGTCTGAGCATTACATCTGCTATGTGGACCCTCTGTGTTAGCCAGCTGTATGCTTTGATTGCAGCCTAATCATCAAATGATGTTTGCTTGGGTTTCTGTTTGTCTTTGAACCTGCCACAGGACTTTAAACAGTAGTTCTTCCTTGCTAGTCCTGCTTATTTTAAGAGTGGGCAGAATAGTTGATTAGTAAAGAAGTCCTGTACAAGCCTTCATATAAGCCACTCTGCTGAATTAATGAGAACGGAGAGAGGGAGGAAGGGAGAACTTACGAGGGCTGGAGGTGAAGGACAGTGTATTCATATTCTTCTTCTCAGTTGATTTATAAGTGTTTTATCTCAATGTCCAGTCCCTTATCTGTGAAATGGGTATAAGTTTGCTCACAGATTTGATGTAAAGGGTAAATAATTATTAAATTGTTCGTAAATGTTAAATTGCTTTATAACTTTCACAGACATAATCATTACAGTTCCACTAGGGTGCATTAAGTCGTACAATTTCCAAAGTAATATGGTTTGTGTGGTTCACCAATTTTATGAAGTTTCAAATGGTATGCATTGAAGACACGATAAATTGCCTGAGAAGAGTTTTTCAGAGAATATTAACCCATCAAGTTAGCAATTTCCTTAAACGTTTTGCGTGTCACAAAGGACACAGGACTTTCCTATTTTAGAGCTGCCTTGACTTGTAGTGACCATTCAAGATCTGACCTGTCTGTCCATTTTATACAGGTTGGATATTGCTGGAGGGCTAAAAATGGTATGACAGTCATGTTGCATGATGTGTTTGCTTACATCTTAGCATGTGTGGTCTGGGCGGAGTGGCCAACTCGTTCAATATAGGAGCCATTGGCTCTTAGAAACAACAGGGAAATTTACTCCCACCTCTTAGTATATATTTCTGCAAGCATGTGATGTTGAGGTCTTTCTGAGTGACCGCTTGCTTGGTAAAGACATCATTTTCCTTTGGTTAATGGCAACTTGAAGTTTGGAAGTTCCTAGGGACCTAGATGTGAGGTCTTGTCCAAATCTTTCTATTTACACGACATAGAGTCTTAGGGTGGAAATGTGCTCCCTGATTCACCCTTCTGGGCTGAGGGCTGCACCTTGGATATGGTCTGCGGGCAAGCGGTGCACTGATAGGGCCCCAGCAACCTTCAGTAACGGGACTTTCTAAAATGAAGACTTGTATGTTTTCAGAAGTGGTTTGGCAGCACTTGATAATATTATTAATGTTCAAAATTAAGTCTAGTAGGATGTATGTTATTACTTAATTAGTTTAAATAAGGCTTAGTTGAGGAAATCTAAGCTTTGACAAATGTAACCAAACAGGGCCTGAGGATTTACAGCTGTTTCTCTCACTTGTGTGTAATGATTTGACATTTGGGTAACACCTTTTCCCCAAGTGGCTTAATGGGACTTGCAGAAGCACTTTGGGTAGCTACCAATTGCTGTGTCGCTGGGGTTTTGTTTTTGAGCATGTTATTTATCAGCAGTACCTGCCAGTTGTAACGAAGCCCAAATTAACCTGCCTTTCTTGGAAAGGGTACAGACCTAAGAAAGGATTTTAGGTTAACATCAACATAATATTTAGAAGTTTTAATTTTTAAATAATAAATAATAAGCACATTTTAAACTGGATTTTATGCTTTCGGAGGCAGGACCCATATGTTTCTCCTTACTTTTCTGTTTCCCCATAGCACCAAGCCTATAGGCACACAGTGGGTGCTTTGTTAACTGCTTGTTGATTACTTCCTCACACCCATCCGAGTTTAAATCTTACAGGTGCTGTCAGCTACCAGAGTAGATGTGGCAGAGCCATTCCATGATCATATTACAAAGAGTAGAACTCATAATTATACCTCTCTCAGTAGACACAGGGCACCTCCATTCTCTTTTGTTGTCTCCCCTTCCCCCACCTCACAACCAAACAATGTGAAGGTAGGATTATGGCAGCTTTACTTAGGAGCGAAGTGTTTCTACAATAAGTCATAACTCTAAGAGTCCTCCAGACTTAAAAGATAACTTTACTACTACATGGTGAAAGTTTGAATAGATCATAATTTATTCCTGTAGATCTATGAAGGATTCTTTCTGTAACCAGAAGGAACTTTATAACCAGCCTTATATTTTTATTTTAAAATATATTTCTCTAATTTCCCCCTTCCTGTTCTCCTCAAAATATCAACCAAAATTATGAAAATGTGCCTAACCTAGTGACTTTCCAATAGCATTTAAAATTACTTTTATCCTAACACCATGAACAGTTATTTACCCCTTCGAGTCATGAATTGGACACTAAATTTGGGTCTTGTGTCAGGTCCATAAACACCCTTCATCACCCTTTGGAATAAAACCAGCATGTGCTACAGTTGGCAAAATCATCGTGGGCATAAAGAAAATCCGTTTCTTCAAACGAGATTGCGAGTTCTTGAAATAGTATTTTATAGCATTGTTTATCCTTGAATCTCTTGTTTTTTAAGTGTAGAATTTATAAGAAAAAAGTTATTATACAGCTAACTATAGCATTTTAGAAGAAAATCAGCTCTGTGAATCATCAGGCTCCATACTTCTTGGCTCGTTACTCTACTGATTTTGATCCCTCCATGAGGGGATTAAGGTTGGGAGGAGCGGTGAAATTTACGTTAGTTGATATTATTTTATCAGAGGTCTCATATATGGTTTATTGTAAAGGAATTAAATATATAGAGGCCTAATTTTTAACAAATTAGCCACGTTGTTCCAAACCTCCATTATGAGCATTATCTTGGGGTTAGTTGTCAATGATAGACTTTACATTTTATATGCTTTTTAAATAGAGAAGGTGAAAAATAATAAAGTAATCATTATTACAGGTAAGTGGTTTTAGTCACCTCTATTTTACAAATGTGTGCCCTCCAAATGCTTGAGAGGGAAGTCAAATAAGATAGGAAAGTATCTTTTTAGGAGGTTGAATGATGTTTCCTTATAAAAATGACAATCAAGAAATAGTCATTTGTATACTTAATTGCCAAAGTTTTAAAAAATTTTACATTCCTTACCCTAAACCCAACTGCTCTCCCATCCAGGATTCAGAAAGGGCTCAGCATAGATCCAGGGTCCCAGGGCCCAGGTCATTTCGTTTTTAGTCTAGGCCTTCTGTGCCTGCATGTGGCAAGGGCATTGATGGCACCTGTGTCCTAGGACACAGTGTGTGTGTGCGTTTGGAGGCAGGGGCTGTGCCCAGACTTATATTCACCCCTTTCTATCAGATCCACAAGTACCACCTGTGGGCTGAAATCCGGGTTAAGCCTATTCAGTATCAGGTAGTTTGGGTTTTTTTTTAACTTCTTAGTGTTATTCACTTCCCCAAATTCTATCTCAAATGTTGGGAAATGCTACCTTGACTGTTTCACTTTGGAAGGTTTTAGTAGATACCAATTTAATAGGGTAACTAAATTGTTAATCTCCTGTCTGTTCAAGAGATACCAGCAAAGGATGTATTTTGCATAATTCATAAATTATTCTACTTATGGACTAACGAATCACTCGATAAAATCAGGAATATCTCTTATTCCTTCTCATTTACTCATAACTTTTCCAAGTTACATTCTGTTGTTACAAGTTTCTGTAATTTTTTTCTGTGACACCTTTCTATTGTCTAACTTTAAATAAAAGTGTTTCTAATAATATCTGTCTGGCAGTGCATTGCTTTGCTTTAGTCTCCAGCGTTTAAAGACAGAATATAGGAGAATCATGTCCTCATATAAGAGCTTATAAATGAACCCATCCCGAACTTTCCTGAAAGGAGGGGCTAGCAGTAAGCTGTTTGTCCTTCCAGGTAGCCTCAGTGCAGAGATTGCGCTTGCCTTAACCACACAGATTAACAGCAGTCTAGGCCCTATTTCCTGTTACTGCTTTCATTCCAGGAAATATCTCCTACATTAGCTTAAATTAATTTTCTATTAAAGGATCTGAATCTGAGAGGATGCTAGCAAATATACTGCTTAGAGTACAGCAGGAACTCTTTAGGATCAAAATAGGCTCTCATCGCAAGAAAGGCTCTCAGAGAGCAACTGGCCCTTCTTGCCTCCAACATCAGGAGTAACAAAATGGTCGTGCCTCCCTCAAAGGTCAGGAAACCTCATTAAAAGATGTTTTCTGGCTTCTGTTCTAGTTTGTTCAGTGGCCAAGGACACACTGTCTCGAATAAGGGAGGCTAGTAGGTTACTGGATTTAATTATTGGGCCACTCGTTGTAGAAACTGCTTCCTTGAGAGCTAGCACAGTCTGGTCCTGATGCACTGTCTCCTGAGCAATGTAACATTGGACAGGGCAGGACTGCACTGAGCATTGCTTTCCTCATCAACAAAATGGGGAATCATTACTTAGTTAAGAAAGATTGTTTGAGCACTTAGCATGTGCTATTAGGTGTTGAGTTACAGAGATGGATAAGATGGACTGCTTTTT